AAAATATACATTTTAGACCCCACAAAGTATATATATTCTTGATCAGCATCCTCCACCTCCCGATATTGGGTATTTTGATGGAGGGTATTACCAGTTCGGCCCTGCCGAACTTACAGCTTTTTTTACTTCTTTAAAGTTGTACCGTACGTTTTGCTATTAGTGGGATTTTAGGTAGCAATACAAATGAATCTTTATACTTCTCCGCAATAATGATAGTATCAATCAAGTTTTTGTGTACTTTTTATACCCTCCTCCATACTATGGAGGGTATATTAAGTTTGTCCTTCCGTTTATAACTCCTCGAAATACTCATGTTGGACCCACAAAATATTTATATTCTTGATCAGCGTAAAATTCTAAATCGATATCGTATGTCCGCCTGTCTGTTGTAATCACGCTATCTTTCGAACGAATGCACAGTTTACAAGTAGGCATATTAAGTTCGTAAATGGGCCATGTCGGTCCACGTTTTCGTTTAGCCCCATATAATGGTACCTTCCGATATTAGTTATTTCCGCGATTTCATATATAAAGTTCGTAAAGAATACTACTGACTATGATAAACATTTTTAAATGCAGGTCCACGTCTTCGCATAGCCCTCATAATTCCCGATACACGATATTTTCATGATTTTTGTGGCATTATTCACCGGAATTGTAACAAATGTCGTATTTAAAGTTTGTAATGGGTACTACAACCTATGACAGAAAATTCTGTATGCATGTTCACGTATATGTACATTCCCAATATTACGGTACCTCACGATATTTGATATTTTAATTATTTCAGCAACATTATTCACAGGAATCGTTTCAAATTTTGTATTGGAAGATCTTAATGGGTACAACAACAAAATGTAGTATGCCTGTTCAAGTTTTCGTATATCCCCCATATAACGGTACCTCCCGATATTCGGCATATTGATGATTTTAGCGACATTGTTCACATTAATTGTTTCAAATGTGGTATTTGAAGTTCGTAATGGATATTACAGCCTACGGCATAAAATTGTTTGTGCAGGTCCACTTCTTCGTATTGCCCTCATATAACGGTACTGTTGCGAGAGACCTTAATAAGTACTCAAGCACTACAGGATATTCAAGGACACGGTTGCGAGATGCCTTAATAAGTACTCAAGCACTACAAGGATCTAGGATACGGTTGCAGGAGACCTTAGTAAGTACTCAAGCACTACAGGATATTCAAGGATATAATTGCAAGAGACCTTAATAAGTACTCATCATCCATAAGTTGGAGCTCTAAAAAATCGTAGTGTACCGCAGTCGGAACACTAAAAAATCGCAGTGTACCACATGCACCACATTAAAAAAACTCGAAGTCATAAAACTGATATAAAACACTAAGTCATACTTTGTAAAATATTTAGGTTTTTACACCTACATTCATTGATTTTTCGGTACCACAAAATAACAGGTAAATCATTTACATAATAACCGTTTACAACGCAACCAGTAAAATACCCTTTTTCGCGAAAAATTAAAAATGTCAATTTTCAATGGTTAAGTACAAATTATTATCACTTCAGATTTAGTCCTTTTTTTATTCTTTCTACCTATTCCCATATTTTTCTACTTTCCTCAAATTCGCAACCAATCTAAACATACATGACAAATAAAATAAATTCAGCTTTATTCATAATATTGAATTGTATTAGTAATTTTTGCATTTTCAAAAACATCAAACATCTAAATTTTCTCAGAAAATAAATAAATAATTCATTTACCACTCCACCTCTGAACGGTACAGTAACATACTGTTTATTTTCGAACGCTGGTGTAGAATGGATAAATAATCCTTGCGGAAAATTATTGTATACCCTTTTCAAAGATAGGAATTATTTTTTGTTATATTTTTTATTTTGTTATATTTCGGATTAAATCATATGCCAAATGACAAACGTAAAAAATAAATTATGGATCTTAAAGAAAACCTAACCGAACGATTGACGTTTTAGTTGGATAATTCTTTAAGTTTCGTTCCGAATAGGGAGAATAAAAACATATTATGCGCTTAGTTTTCTTGATATTTATTATTCGCCAGTTTTTACAACAATGATTTTTAATATTATAATGTTCTTTCATAAATAGCTTTTTGAATTGAATGATCAATAAGGGAGAGTAATAGTTTGTGATTAAGCGAAAACTCATTTGAGTAGAGATATAATAAAAATCTATTAGGGAGGATGAGTAAATAATTAATGAGTAAACAATTAATAATCAATAATTGTTATGCAATATAAGGAATGACTTTAAAAATAGGTTAAAATTAGCATTTAATATATGATGTAAATATAATCAAGATAAATAATGCTAATGTTTCTATATGCGGTTGCTACAATAAGTGATAACAAACCACATAAAATCCACCACTTTTGACTGAAACAGATTGAAACATAACTTCAAAATTCAACTACTGACGCTTGCGGTCAATTTTTTTTTTAAGTTTTAATATTATATTTTGTTATCTTTCTCGACTTCTAGAAGAAGAGTACAGTCTTGTTTGTGATGCGACCTCATCGATGGTTTATTGACGGTCCATATTAATTTTGGTTATTTTCGCTGACCATTATCCCGAGTGCAATTAGAACGAGGACTTTAAAAGCTTTATATAAACTAGGATTTTCTTTTTTTTTAATGAAGTTAAGAGCGAATTTAAAAAAAAATAAATAAAAAAATTAATAAATAAATAAAAACGAAAACATATAACATTTGGAAAGAAGCCTGAAATCTTTATTTGAGTTGATAGTACGGTCCATACATATTTCATGCAAATGTAGATCGCGACTGCGCCTTGGTCCATGGTCCATCCGCTTAGTCCAATTTGCGCATACTCTTTCCAACCTTTCGGCCGGTATCTCAGGAATAAATATTACAATGTTGTCTTCCAATACTTCAATTGAAGTGGTCTCGTTTATGTATTCATTTGTTCACCGGGGACAAAACCAACATCAGTCTTCTAATAAAATGCAAAAGAAACATTAAATGATACAGAAACCACATAAACAACAAATTAGTAAACATAAATTAACAACGAAACAATTTACAATCCCTTCTCATTTTCTGTGCTTAATATTCCGCGCATACTTGCCCAAAGGCCAAGTTCTACTTGTTCTGCAAAGAGTGTTGTATTTAATACGCCGTTAGAATAAACATAAGGAGTCAAGAAAATATAATGACACTTTAGGTTAAATAAAATATTTTCCGAGTTAACATAATTGTCATTAATAAATATAAAATTACACGTATACAAAACATTTTTATTGTATTCAACATTTTTATTGTGTACTACTTAAGTAAATAATATTGCATAAACTTTTATAAATGACGCAAAGTGATCTCATTGGGTTATTCAGTTTATAATTAGTTCTCGTATCAGACAATTTTAACGGTTCGAAATTACGAGTCTAAATACTTCATATCATACCATCTAGGCTAAATGTTTACCAAATTCTCAATAAGTCCATTGCAATGCGTACTGTGTGGCACGTGGCATCGACTTGTTGAAGGCAAAGCGCCTCCATATTTCACACAATTGCTACTCTTACAACTGCGGAAATGAAGAAGAGAAGGAAATGGTTCAACTTCTTCTCTGCTCTTTGCTTAATCACAAAGTCAGTTCTCAAATGTCTAATATCTTGAAAAAATATTATTGTTTGAAAATACAATACAAAATTTATTGATAAAGTTACAGAGATCCTGCAACGACAAATTACTAATTTAATTGGAAGATGCTTTTTAAACCTTTAAATACTTAAAAACTGGGTGTACTATTGTATTAAATATACACAAAATAGTAAACTAATATCAGACAATTATCGGTGGGAAAAAAATTAAATTTAGTAAAATAGTATAAAAACACTTATATCACAAAAACTTCACACTTTTACAAGCTACTGAAATGTGTATATTTAAAAAATCAAAAATTAAAACTACTAAGAACACAATAACTGCTAAAAAGATAAAACAAGTAAAAAAGCTGTAAGTTCGGCCGGGCCGAACTTTTAATACCCTCCACCATTTGGTACAAATTTGACAATTTCCAAAAAAAAAAAAAAAATAAAATCAGTAAAATTTTTTTTAAAATCTTAAAAATACCGAATGCCTATACGACAACGTGGACCTGCATAGGCAACTTTTGTCATAAGTTATTACAATATTTGTAGTATCCATTACGAACTTCAAATACCAAATTTGAAACAATTCCGGTGAATAATGTCGCTACAATCATCAAAATACCGAATATCGGGAGGTACCGTTATATGGGGGCTATATGTAGACGTGGACCTACATGGATCATTTTTTGACTTAGTATGTAGTATCCATTACGAACTTCAAATACCAAATATGAAACGATTCCGGTAAACAATGTCGCTAAAATCATCAAAATACCGAATATCGGGGGGTAACGTTATATGGGGGCTACACGAAGACGTGGACCTGCACAGATAATTTTCTGTCTTAGGCTGTGGTATCCATTACGAACTTCAAATGCCAAATTTGAAACAATTCCGGTGAATAATGTCGCTAAAATCATCAAAATACCGAATATCGGGAGGTACCGTTATATGGGGGCTATATGATAACTTGGACCTACATGGCCCATTTACGAACTTAACCTGCCTACTGGCAAAATATACATGTGTGCAAAATTTTAGCCTGCTATCTCAATTTGTTCGATAGATAGCGTGATTACAACAGACAGACAGACGGACATGGCTAAATCGTCTTAGAATTTTACGCTGATCAAGAATATATATACTTTGTTGGGTCTGACATGAGTATTTCGAGGAGTTACAAACGGAATGACAAAATTAATATACCCTCCATAGTATGGTGGAGGGTATAAAAAACTGCAACAGAGTTAAACGCCATAATTATTAAATTTTATAAATATATATGAAAAAGATACTAGTTTCATTCAGTTTTAATAATTTTTTTATATATTAGAGTTGATTTTTAGAATTCAATTTTATTTCTAGGAGACCCAATTCAGAATTCGTACACGACTATTTCGAAATCACTCCATCCATGTCAACATTTACGTTCGGCTTTGTAACGACACAATTGGAACAATTTCAAATGCAAAACGATGTGTCCAAAAACTACAATAAAATACCTAAAATAAACATATGGGCTTCGAAAGATTTACACCACAAATTGGAGGTATGTATTTTTTCAACAATAAAAACAAAACATAAATCTAATTCTACAATAGTTGCAAAAGAATATACTGCAATAAGAAAATATCTCGGTAGTAATTTAGAAGTCACGCCCATATATATATATATATATATGTATATATATATATATATATGTATCTTCGCTTTGGATATTTTTAATTTTTTACACGATTTTATACCATTTAGCACGATTTGAAATTTTATGTACTTTAATTTTTTTTGTCAAATTTAATTTTTGCGAAGTATGTTCATATCACATAAAAGTATTTATGAAAGAAAAAAGTCTGAAACCATCGATAGTATCAATAGTTTGCGAACACTAGCTTAAAGATTTAAGTGAATTCCCCTTTATCGCGTACAAACATTTTTACTGGTCAAAGCAAATGTGAATAGCACAAGCATTATATATTTGATTTAATAAAATAGACATAAATTCTTGTTTTTCACTAATTTTAATAGGTTTTAGAAATTTGGAACAAATCACCCATTAGGAACAAATCACCCATAAAATCAATGTCTTTTTTAAACGTTTTTTTTTTTTTACACGGCTTCTTCTGGAACCAATCTACCGTGTAAAAACAGACTTAGGTGTATATATATATATATATATATATATATATATATATATATATATATATATATATATATATATATATATATATATATATATATATGAAAAGAAATGATATATGATATATATATATATATATATATATATAAAGAAATGAGCGTGACTAAGTAGTATACTGCCAAGAAAACAAGGAAGTCACTTCCATGACCATTTCCTTACATTTCAGCGGCCTTAAAAGAATGCTAATTTTTTGAATGAAGTTGGGTCTTTTAACAACGACGTCTGCTGTCCGATTTGGTGAATATCAGTTAATATATTGAGATAAAATTAAGTAACAAAAGGTGGGATTGATTTTGAAAGAGTTGATGTCAATATAAAGTTCACAGGAACTACATAAAATATCTACACCATTTGAAACTGTTAACCAGCATATATCATTTTGAATCTAGACATTTTATTTGTGTAAAAAGAGAATAGAGTCCAATCTCCCTCTTCGATTGTCAACTCTATTCTGTTCAGATCCTGTTCGTAGGATCAATGTTTAAATGAGAAAAGAAAACCAACCGAATGGTTTGGCTGTTCAATTCTGATTTTATTTAAAAACAAGTAAAAAACATTAAGTTCGGCCGGGCCAAACTTTTAATACCCTCCACCTTAGGGTAAAAGAAACATTAGAAGAAATGTGGCAAAAACCATAAAAATTCCGAATATCGGGAGGTACCGTTATATGGGGGCTACACCAAAAGGTGGACCTATAATTACAATGTTTTGCCACACGAACTAGAACCCATTATGACCCACAAATACCAATTTTTAGACAAATCAGTGAAAAAATGTGGCAAAAACCATTAAAATACCGAATATCGGGAGGTACCGTTATATGGGGGCTATATCAAATCATGGACCCATGCATGCAATGTTTCGCCACCGAAGCTGGAACCCATTATGACCAACAAATACCAATTTTCAGACAAATCCGTGAAAAAATGTGGCAAAAATCATCCAATTACCGAATATCGGGAGGTACCGTTATAAGGGGGCTTTAACCAAAACGTGGACTTACACATGCAATGTTTTGCCACACGCTCAGGCACCCATTATGACCCACAAATACCAATTTTTAGACAAATCAGTGAACAAATGTGGCAAAAACCATCAAAATACCGAATATCGGGAGGTACCGTTATATGGGGGCTATACCAAATCATGGGCCCATACATGCAATGTTTCGCCACCGGAGCTGGAAACCATTATGACCCACATATACCAATTTTTACACAAATCCGTGAAAAAATGTGGCAAAAAAAAATAAAATACCGAATATCGGGAGGTACCTTTATATGGGGGCTATACCACAACGTGGACCTATACATGCAATGTTTTGTCACACGCTCAGGGACCCGTTATGACCTACAAATACCAATTTTCAGACAAATCCGTGAAAAAATGTGGCATAAATCATCAAAATACCGAATATCGGAAGGTACCGTTATATGGGGACTATACCAGAACGTGGACCGATATATCTCATTTTCAATACCAACCATCCTAGACACAATGTAAATAGCTCTGCTAAATTTTGGCCCTCTACGTCAAATAATGTGGGCTGTATCGTGATTTCAACAGACGGACAGACAGACAGACGGACAGACAGACAGACAGATGGACATCGTTAAATCGACTTAGAATTTTATGCTCATTATGAATATATATACTTTATGGGGTCTAAGACGAATATTTAAGGATGTTACAAACGGAATGACAAAGTTAATATACCCTCCTTTCCAAGGTGGAGGGTATAAATATGTTTCTTAAGTGCTACTGAAACTAATCTAACTAAACCTAATCGCAGCCACACAATTATTCTCATCTATTCTAATATTGAATGGAGAACATTGCAGGGCTGCTTGACATCTCATTCAAGTGGTCTTGTTCATCTACTGAACGCATCGATATATGTGCGTGTGGGTCATAACCAGTGTTGCCGTTTTGGGCGTTTCCGTCCAAATTTGGGCGGAAAAAAGATAAATTTTGTGGTTTGGGCGGATTTTGGGCGGATTTTTTTCATATTGGGTACAAAATTATTTTTTCATTGTTCATTGTTTTTACGTAATTTAATTTTTTTATTACTAATTGAATTTTATTTTTTTTATTGAGATGAATCGTTATTTCTTTTATAGATTTTTGTTAAGTTTTTTAATACTATATGTAATACATTAAAAACAAGTAAGCAAAGGCTATAGTCGTGCGGGGCCGACCATGTGATACCCTACAACACTACAATATGTAAAAAGCCCCCTCATATCCAAATCCATTTTGGAAGACTTCGCTTTTGAAATTATGTCACGGAGCACTGCCCAGATATTACCCTTAGCATTTTGACCAGGGACATTTCCCAATATTTATGCACTCCGTTGTGCTGTTAGTTTTTGTGGTCCATTTTACGGCTAAATATATTCCAATGATCATCCAAAATGCCAGAATTCTCTCCTGTGCTTAACTGTATTCTCAGGCGTGTCGATTGGTTTTTGGTTCATTTAAACCCCTAAATATTTTGCGATCATCTCCAAAAGCAAGAGGCCCCTCATTCATCATCTATATGATTTGCTTGTCTACGATATTTGGCTATATTCGTCAACGAAATCAGCATAAAAAAAGCCAGAAGTTCGCCTTTTGTGTATTTCAGATATCGCCTGTAAGTAATGCTGTTATTTTTTCACACAAAATTAGTGGTCCATTCTACTCGCTGTCCTAAACTCTAAGTTTATGCGAGATTTCGTGTCCCTTGGTTTCTAGTTGTGACCTTTATAACAGCTGCAAAGTTAGGAAAATTGTTAGTTGTTGGTCCATTTCAACCCCTAATATATTGCAGACATCTTTGAAAACAATAGGCAAAGCCCTTCTCAGCCCATCCCTACCCTTGTGAAAATTTTCGTGAGGATCGGACAATATTTGCAATACTTATATAATATCCCCAACCTGTGTTGTAGGGTGAAAAAATATTACAAAATATTATAAGTCAAATTGAAAAAATCGCATGCGATAAAAAATATGAAAAAATAAAAAATGTCACAAAATACTACAAAATCTTTAATATCATCATTATTGGCATACTTTTCTGCGATTTTTTGAGACTAAATTTTTTAGACAAAATTTGTCAAAATCGGTCCAGCCATTCGTGAGATATAAGCATTCTAACTAACATCCCCTTCCTTTGTATATACACATTGTATATAATTCGCTATATATATTGGTCAGAATTGACCTGTTCGTCTATTTGTGATTTCGCCGGGATTAAAAATATTCGCGGTTTAAATGAAAATTTGACTTTTATTTAACACAAATGTTGTGGCCTCTTTCACCCACTAAATATTACCCGATGAATTGGAAGGCTTCTGCCCAGCCATAAGCTCTAGCCCCATGCTAACTTCCGCTTTGATTGGTCTATAATTGCGATCTGTAGAGCAACTGCAAAATCATTAATTTTTTCAGTTTTTGGTCCATTTCAACCCCTTAATATTATGCGATCATCTCCAAAAGAAATAGGGTTTTATTCTGACCTTAACCCCAGCTACATTCTAAATTTCGTGAAGATCGGGCCATAATTAAGTGATAAGTGATTACAAATTAACATGGACAGACGGACGGACGGACATACGTAACTAGATCGACTCAGCTCGGCGAGATAGGAAGATGTATATATACTTTCCTATGTAGGAAACCAATATTTCGTGGTGTTACATAATTTTTGGTCCAACACATTGTGTTGTAGGGTATAAAAACCTGAATAATAATAATGACTTTAATGTATTTAGTACATTGAATTCTTGTATTATGTTACTTTTTCAAACATATATATAATATATATATAAAAAAAACTTGAAGTAAAATAACAATAAAATTTTTATTTTCTCTAATGTATTTAATACATTGAATGTAATAAAACTTGAGTACCTTTTTTATGTATAGTGTAAAATTTTCAATAAAATTTACTTGAATACAAACTACATATAAATTATACAACTTTTTACAGTTTGGGCGGATATGGTCGATTTTGGGCGGTTTTTAGAAAAAATTTGGGCTGAAATAAAAATTTTAAACGGCAACACTGGTCATAACCTTTATTATCTCTCACGTTATCGTATGCGTCAGAGCACAAGATCGCCGAATTCTTCACATTTGATATTTTATGGCGGCTGGGAAATATTTAATTTTAGAACATTTATCTTTTATTACTACATTTTCCCAGCGCCTCAGTCGCACTCAAAAGTATGTGCAAAGTATTTTGTACAATTTGAAATTCAGGAGATTCCCTTTTTAATTCAGAAATTTTCTAACAACAAGTGTAATTACGCTTTTGAACAGCCAGTGTGTCATCCTTTTATTGAAACCCAATTTTGAACCTAAAGACC